TCAATTATACATAATCATTTACAATTGTAAAAGGTCAAAGGTTGCCCGTGATGCTTTGGAAGTAACATGACACTGTTGTAAGCACCATGTATGGAATGGGTTGGGTTTTTATGGTTCATGGATTAAGAAAATCTGCAATGCAGTGTTTTTCTTATCAATTCAAGCTAATATATGCTAATAAATCAGACTGTATAATAGGAACAGGATGCACAATGTAAATAATTAAAACATTATATAGAATTATACAAAGTGTATTATGCAAGAGATGTTCAGGAACAGTTTCTACGTAATGCGTTCAGGATCATAAATGTCAGAATTACAGGATTAAGTCTTTTGAGTTGCGTGGCAGCTTTAATGTGTCTGAAAGCCGAAAGCAGGCTTGTTTGAGAGGATGTGTCAGAAATAGCAGACTGCCTCTCACAGTCCCTTGAGTCCCTTGTAATCATGATGGGCAGTGATTGTGCAAGAGCGCCGCCTGCTGTACACGAACCAACCCTGCAGCGCCCAGATGATGTCATTCCATGCAGAGGCCCAAGCCTCTTATGGACAATATGGACTTCCTCTGTGAGGCTAATTGTGATTTTATAATTAATACAATTACGAAACACCTTATTATGCTGCGATTTAACCAGATTCTACACATTTTTTGGATCAACACGAAGTTGAGACTCTAAAACTGCTCAGAAGTATTGAATATTTATACCGACACAATGCCAAGGCGATGTAAGGGAGCGATATTGCAGATAAACCTGTGCCAACCGCACTTCCTACAGGACAGCTGCCATCCGTTGAGTGCCCAGCCGTGAGTGAGCTGCCCACCATCTGATGGCTAGGACGATGACAGGAACACAGAGTGTGACTGGGAGTGATCCATAACACACACACACACACACACACACAAGTCTGGTTTACTATCTTTGTGGGGACTCTCTGTAGGCATAATGGTTGTTATACTGTGCAAACCGTATATTCTATCGTCCTACAACAACCCTACCCCTCAACAAAAAAAAACGTTCTGCATTTTTACCTTCTCAAAAAAAAAAAAAAAAAACATTCTATGATTTATAAGCTCGTTTCCCAATGGGGACCTCAATTTAGGTCCCCACGGTGACACAAGTCCCCATGAGTCTAGCTATTCAGGTTTAAGTCCCCACCGGGATAGAAAAAACATGTACACACACACACATTAATGTGTGTCTAGTCTCTCTATCTTTCTCAGGGTTTTATGAAGACGCATTGGCTGTATACTTTGTCGATTTGTTTTTGGTTTACTTAATATTCTTAAATTCTAAGTACAAGTACAATGTCAATCCCAATGCAACGTTTCTCTTACGATATCCACCTTATTTTGCAGTTATTTTCTGTGAATGTGTGAGACTTCAGTATTGTTTGACTGTTTGCCAATTTAATTTACACTTGTTAATTTTATAATCATCTTTACTAATTTGTGTGATGTCAGAATGGGGTTCTCTTCTAGGCTACATAAAAAATTTTTTTTTAAATTCATACAATATAGGTTTCAAACGTTTCCATAAAGATGAAAAAATACAAGCTTAAAAGTTAGTTTGCACACCTGTTACCATAGGCCCTAGAATTCTGTAACCACAGCAACAGTATGTTGCATAAGCACTTTTTTACTATCAGTTTCAGGCGGTGTGTAGATAAAGTATAAGCACAGCTGTCCTTTTCTATAATTTTCTTATAGATGTATGTCTAAATATCCCAAATTAAACTTTGGAATTCTATTTTAAATGTCTTTTACATAATTGTTATTTCACTAACTATGCTAACTCACCAAATGTAAATTTGCATTGAACAAGGACAAGCCTTGATGCGTTTCGCCACCTGAAAATTACTTTTACATTTAAAAATGTAACTACCAATTCCTGAGGTTTTTGTTTGACATTTAGAAGCATTTCATAAATGCTTTGTCTCATGAGCCCAAAGAAACACTTCTCATACAGAATACCTGAGATTAAACACTATACTGATCATGATACGATTGAAAAAAAAAATGTTTTGAACAATTTAGGAAACTTAGGAAATTTAGGAAATCTTTAAGTACTTAAGTCTAAAGTACTAAATCTGAATAGACATGGGGGACGTCTTACAACTTCTTTTTGCACAGAAGTTGTAAGATATTATTTTCCGGAGGAATGTATACGAACCATCTGGATGGTTTTAATTTGATTTCAGACCTCCGAGAAAACAGGCTTTTACTGGGAAAATACTCATAGAATATGTATGACAATGTGTTTGATTGGGATTTTTTTCAGACGTATCTCAAAGATGCATTTGCTGTTCAAATAATGATATAATAGTTCTAATAATAATGTATTTGTCTATTTCTGCATCTTATAGTCCCGAGTCTCCAAATAGCCAGTACCTAGTGGAGTATGAATTTTAGAATAATAATAAAAAAAATGTTAAAGCCAATTGAGTCCAAATACAGTGGGTACGGAAAGTATTCAGACCCCCTTAGCAATATAACAAAGAGTGAAAAATTTAAGGGGGTCTGAATACTTTCCGTACCCACTGTATGTACACTGACTGTAGTGTATTTTTTGTTAACTAATAGCGAGTATAAACATATTTTTAAGATTTTCCTCTTTTATGACACTGCAAAAGTGTAAAAAAAAAAAAAAAAAGGTTCATGTGCAATTATAGCACAGATGGTTAGTGGTTATAGCCCAGAAGGTTAATGGGAAAATCTGTGTGTGAGGGAAGAAAAAAATAACTCTTTCATATGTTTAAATATTAATAGCCTGTTGATTAATTCTCTTACACAAAATGTTTGTCATTTAAACGATAAAAAAAGTCTGACTATATATAATGTAAAATTATATATTATAATTTTAAATTATAATGTAGCCTACTACGTGGCTTATATGGTAAGTTCAAGGTAGCTACAAAAAAAAGCCAGAAAGAACGTGCTGAGTCAGCCAAACTGCCCTAAAACTGAACTTTATATTTTCCACCTATTATAGAATAATGCTCTGCTGTTATTAACATTCTGCTGCATTTCATACTCTATCTAACAATCCACTCAGTATTCAAAAGGTTAACTTTGATAAAATGAATCCTTTTACAGCATGGCTCATGGACGCCTAGCGGCAAACAATGCTTAATTGTCAATAATGTTTTCACTTTCACTGAGTCACTGAATATACCAGGGCTTGGCAAAACAGACCTCGTCAAGCCTAGTAATATGCTGGAAGGGAATAAACAACTGAGTACATTTATCACATATCTGTGGTTATTTTTTATCACATGGGTCCCATTTATGTCTGTACTACAACAACTCTAAAAATAATGACACAAATAAAACAAAAGTAAAAATAATTGTACTATTTGGTTCCATGAGTTTTTAAGCATCAGATCACTGCTTTCGAAATGACAAATTTCTATTATAAGTTAACAATGACAGTGGCTTGGTTTAACTACAATAAGTCAATGTTGTTATATACAATAAAATATTGTTAATGTATTGTTGTTATGCAAATGTTTACAGTACCAACAAAACATAATATTTATCTCCATGGCATTATGAGTATCTATTCTGAAACATTTCTGAGACATGAGTTAGTGAAGTAGCTGCCTGCTCACACACACAGTCACAAATCTATGGAAGCCCATTTAAGCCACAGGATAAAAAAATAATAAGGTAATTGTTACTTTTAATATTATAATTCTGACTTTTTCTCGCAATTTTGAGGGGAACATTTTTTTTTTTTTTCTGAATTCTGAGCAATTTAGTCTATTTGTTTCCGCCATGTAATAAAAAAATGTAAAAATGTAATTGCGGCTTTTTATTTAACCAATTCAGACTTTTTCCTCACGATTGCAAATTTACATGTTGTAATTCCGACTTTTCTTCTCAGAATTGTCTCACAATTCTAGTAAGAATTGAAAAGACTATATAATATAAACTCTGTGAGCTGTGAGAAAAATGTCAGAATTGTAAGACAAACTTCATCTTTTCTTCAGCTTCCAGAAGAGATCAGATGAGATCAGATGTGCTAAAACATTAGTCACATTTAAATGCAGACTCAAAACTCATCTGTTTAGCTGTGCATTTATTGAATTTATTGAATGAGCACTGTGCAACGTCCGAACTGATTGCACTATATTATATGTATAATCATTTTCTATTCTTAACTGTTTTAAATTCATTTAAAACCTCTTGAATCAATTTTTAAATAATTTTCAAAGTTTTTAAATTCCGTTTTATTGTTATTATTATTTTCTTTTTCTTTTATGTAAAGCACTTTGAATTACCATTGTGTATGAAATGTGCTATATAAATAAACTTGCCTTGTCTTGCCTTTTTAATTTTTTATCCCGTTGCAGAAACAATCTTCCATACAAATCTGGTTTCTTTAAATGATTTATGACTTAGTCTCAACCCCTGATCATGACTCGATCGCAGCACTACTAAAACTATAGTATTATTTAGGGATGTAAGGCTGAGTCATCTAGCAAACCATTAATGTACACTAGATTGTGTAAACCGCAAAATCTATGCATAATCTGCTAAATCATAATTGTTTTGCTGTTTAAATACTGTCTGAAAAGCCTGTTAAAAGGCCATTGCATTAAAGGGGTCATATGCGCTCTCTCTCGCTCTCTCTCTTTCTCTCTCTCTCTCTCTCTCTTGCTCTCTCTCGCACTCTCTCTCGCTCTCTCTTTCTCTCTCTTAAAGGAAAACTTGAAATCGCATCATATGACCCCTTTAAACTAACCCCATATAGTGTGACAACATGCTCCAACATGTGCTGACTGACTGTAAACCTGGCTATTCTAGGAAATATCCACTGCAGTAAAAAGTGGGACATACGCTTGAACAGCATTATAAGTCTTTCAGAATCCAATGATTCTGTTTAACTGAGCATACAGAATGAATAAGAACTGCCACAGACACAACCTACCCTAAACATACGCCTCATTTAGAGGTCAGAGAGTGACTACCCTCGAGCTCTTCCTGTTGTCCTTCGTGTACACGGCATATGCGCCATGACGTCAGAGATCAGCTGACTGGTTTGTTTTGCTGGGCTTCACAGGACGAAGCGACGACACGCTACTGAAATAAAACGATTTCGCATTATTTAAAACATAACCGATTAAGATCTGTTCAGAGACAGAAAAGGAACAAAATTAGGCAGGTTTGCCTAAAGGAAACGGTGTCTAATCTCATTTTAAACATGCCTTCGGAAAAGACATTTAAACAAAGGAGGACATTTGGTAAGTGCATCGAGTTCATATCATCAGAGAATTTCTTTTCTACTGTATTTCTGGTATATGTATTCATTTTACATTTAGCATGACTCGTTTACATAAGCCTATATTCTGGGAACGTTTATAATTGTCCTTTATATGTAATAGTATATACAGCAATACCCAGTGCCTAAAATACCTCAATATTGTAGTGATGAAACATTACAAATGTAAAATGGGTCGTGTTGTTGCACTACAAACAACCCAGTCAAATTGGGTTATAAGGGTGTCGGCCGTGTATGTTCAGACTATACAAACATACAGACTGCATGACCATAACATAAACAACATAACGAGTTTCTCTTACCTTATTTACAACGTAGCAAAATCTATGTTGCAATGTCTTTGTTTGTGGGCAGATGTTAGCGAAACAGTGCGCTGCAGGATTGGGGGATGGGACTCGTCGTTTAAGGTTATTTGGAAGGACTCGAGTAAACAAACGACGATGCCGAATGAATATTCGTAATATTTTAATAGCTACTGTTCAAATAACATCGACATTTTCGAGATGTTTACAAATATATATCGTATTGCTGTCACAGTCATCACTGCGCTCAGTTATAGGCCTGAGTCTTATATCGGCGCTGAGTTATCTTTTTCATAACCGTTATCACTCTTGTTTTCCAATTTCCATCCCTTTTTGGGACTGAAGTGGAAAATAGCTGATAACATAGTGATTGACTTTTGACAGCATTTTCGCCTTTGTTTGTATTCATAACGTAGGCTACATATTTTATCGACACTTATATAAGAGAATATTGAAGTTGTTACAAAGGCCCGTCACTTGATGTGAATAGTTATAAAACAAATAATATATCAGCCTATAAATTGCCTATCTTCAACCAATGTTGTGACAACCAGCCCAAACAAGCACATGTTAGTAGCGATGTCTTTCTAAAGTAGAATCGTATTAAACCGGTTTACACAATCGAACTAAAAATTCGTTTACGAATTGAACCGAGCATGTTTGACTTCTTGATTCTATTACACGTTTTATGAACAGAGTTTTAATGAATGTCATTTTCAGATAAGAGGTGTAAATGATAATTATATGTAGGTATGACTTTGTTTTTTTTTTTTAATCATATTTGGTTTCATTTTTAGGTACAGATTTGATTAATAAAGCTAAATTAAGAAAGGATGAACCAGGTCTTCAAAACGAAACTAAAGAACCAATTTCGCGGAAATGGGTGAGGTTTAGTAGATAGCCACCAAAAGTTACCAGTTGCTCAATAATTGCACGTTGTCATACATCAGAAGCATGTGCTCAGTCAAGTTTATGAACCATCACTCACAAGACCTCATATGGTCCCCAGACTGAAGTTTTATCTTGTTTCTTTGTGTCTCTAACTATTTGAAAACTTAGTTGGTCCTACAATATCAATGCAGTGATGTAGCTGTCTAGACTTGTCGTTTTATTGTTTTATGGTTGCTGCAGATACTGTCATGTCATGCTAGTAGCTTGGTACACAAAGGCCTGCCTTGTTTCTTTTTCATTTCTGTTCATTAAATCGTTAAGAGAAAATTATGTGGAACAAATGCTTAAACAGCAAAGAAATAAACTAATATTCCAAGCAATTTAACTGGGAAGAACAGACATAAACACTGAAAACCATTGTTGGGTGTTTTCTTAAAGGGACAGTTGACTGAAAATTAATATTTAATCATTATTTATGCACCCTCAAACTATTCTCACCAACAACTTGCAACAGAACCGTCTTAGTTTCGATGCCCTTCCTTGATTGGTTGAAACTGAACCACAAGATAGGACTAACAAGTTTAACGTGGACCTGTTAAACAATTAAAATTGGTCCTTTGGAGAATTGATTGATACTTGAGATCCAAACCCATATCCAGCTCAGTAAAATGTCTGTGGTTTAATGCGTCCTGTATTGTGATCTGCTGTATCTAATATCTGCTCCTACTTCCTCTTTACAGAGCAGCGGGTGGAGGATGTACGGCTGATCCGGGAACAGCATCCAAGCAAGATCCCAGTAAGCAGATTATATTTGTGTCTGTGGAGCTGGAGATGAAAATTGATAACCAATTAAAAAGGCTTGCACACATAGTATGCAAGTGTTCTAAAGCAGTGGTTCCCAACCCTGGTCCTGGAGGCACCCCCAACACTGCACATTTTGCATGTCTCCTTTCTCTGACACACCAATTTCAGGTCTTGGAGTCTCTGCTAATGAACTGATGACCTGAATCAGGTGTGTTTGATTAGCGAGACATGCAAAACCTGCAGTGTTGGGGTGCCTCCAGGACCAGGGTTGGGAACCACTGTTCTAAAGTATCTACCAGTATAGGTCTTTATAATGGAATATTGTCATTAGAATATGGTCATATTTGCTCTGTTTGTTCTAGATGTGCCGTTTTTTTTAGGATGTTACATAGTATTGCCTATTTGCATCCTATCCATTCACCATCACAAAACAGTAGACTAAAGTTCACTCACTCTAAAATGTAATTGTCATCATTTTCATGTTGTTTCAAACCTGTATGACATATGTGACTTCTGTGGAACAAATAAAAACAGATATTTTCACAAATGCTTCAACTATTTTTGTTCATACAATGATCGTACATTGATCTTCATTGTATTTATAAAAAAAACTGAGGCATTTGTTAAAATGTTGTGTTCCACAGAAAAAAAAGTTATACTGCTTTAGAGCAACATGAGGGTAAGTAAATGATGATTTTCCAGTTTTTTGTTGAATTACTTGAACAAAATCAGATGGCCTTCAGGTCAAGGTCATGATGTACATTTTTAAAACACGCTCAGCTGTGTGTATTGAGCATAATAGGTTAATCTTATGGATAACCTCTAAAGGAAGCTTGTCAATAGACCTAGTAAAACAGGCAGCATATGAATGCCTGTGTTTGCATGTGTATATATAGGGCCTTTATCAGCCTCTTAAAGACCAGTCATTGCTATTGTAGCCAGGTGTCACCTCTATTGATAATGCCTCAGGGTTTCCAGTCTCAATTGTTATTCAAGCTGACCAGGATAAAGTGGTCAGCTTCCCATTTGCTGAATAGACACAAACTACCACCCAGGGCAACTCCTTTGAATGGGAACATTTGGACACATTATAATTTTTTTAAATTATTATTCTAAAACTTAATTTAAAGTCCGCGTGAACCGGAAGTTGCTGCCGACTTTATTTCAGTGTAGTGATGTATTTCCAGCTGAAACGGAATATTGAATAGAGGGCATGGTTTTATGTTTGAGCTCCTCCTCTCTGTCTCTCACTCATAGCAATCTAACGGTTGGAGGGGTGTGTTTAAAGATATTCTGCCCAAGCCGTCAAACTGACGTCATCAGAAAAGGAATGCCATTCCAGAGCGGAAGTAAATGTTCAGATTTTGATTACAGATTACGAAGACAAACACATTTTTTCAGCGGATTAACTTGCACGGATTAATTGTTTACATCAAGACTAGCAATGTGCGCTAGTAAAGTAAATAAAGTCAATTTTGATTTCATGCGGACTTTAAATGTTTTAAAACAATGAGCTGGACAAATATAGTAAATGTAGTAATACAAATTCCTGGAATAAATGTCTATCATTTATTCTTATCTTTCCACAAAAATATGAAGCAGCACAACTGTTTTCAACATTAATGATAATAAGAAATGTTTTGAGCAGGAAATTCGAATATTAGCTTGATTTCTGAAGAATCGTGTGACACTGATGACTGGAGTAATGATGCTGTAAATTCAGCTTTGCCATCACAGGATGCATCACAGTTTAAAATATATAATAGAAAACTGTTATTTAAAATTTTTATAATTTTACTGTTTTACTGTACTTTTGATAAAATAAATTCAACCTTAGTTAGCACAAGAGACTTCTTTAAAAACTTACTGACCCCAAACTTTTGAACAGTAGAGCACATACATACTATTTGGTACAATTTATCCAATTTAAATAAATACGCATATATGCTAATGTTTAGCTTGTTGGTTTTGTTTCAGGTCATCATCGAGAGATACAAGGGAGAAAAGCAACTGCCGATACTTGACAAAACTAAGTTTTTAGTTCCCGACCACGTAAACATGAGCGAACTTATTAAGATAATCAGGTAATATCAAGATAATACCTACTTCTTGCCTTTCATTATTAACTTCACTAATGCATCTCTGGTTCATGTGCATTTTCAATAGGAGACGCCTCCAGCTCAACTCCAACCAAGCTTTCTTCCTGCTTGTCAACGGTCACAGCATGGTATCTGTGTCCACCGCCATTTCTGAGGTCTACGAGCGCGAGAGAGACGAGGACGGCTTCCTGTACATGGTCTACGCCTCCCAGGAGACATTTGGAACTGCGTGTCCTCAGTAAAAAATGGCAAAACGATTGCCTTTCACTCTCTGACAATGATACAACCTACCCTGAACTCTCTTTGCGACCTCTCCATTGCAAATATCCCTATCCCCTTTCCCGTCCCCATCCAAACAGGAACCAACTGAACTTTTAGTCATTTGGCTCACCGATCCCAGCCATTATCCAAAGCTAAATCCTAACTTCCCACATCTCAGCCCTTTAACCTCGACTCCCTCCAAATAATTTGAGTTTTAATAATGGTAGAGGAGTCGTTTGTATTTAGGTTATAGGATAGGTTATGGTTAGTTGGACTAATTATCTGGATTTACTCAACACAAAGCTTGAACGAAAGACTTCTGGGTGTAGAGATGGAATCATCTCAGTTTCTTAAGCGGTTGAATTTCTGAAATGGCATCTAGTGTAACATTAGGCGGCCAAATAGAGGTTATCTATCAGGTCCATTTTAGCTTGGAGGGGTCGCGTTCACACTCTGGTGACCTTTAACCCTTCCCGCTGTTCGTCGAATCTCTTTATTTGTTGAGTTCGACAGCCTTTCCTTACCTGTAGGTGTTTTCCGCTGTTCCAATTTCCATGTTAGAAGCAATTCAGTCTTTTCACCTCCCCCTCGAGCTTTTTGCTAATTGGGTCATGAGCGTTGAGGTTCTTGGATTTCACAGTTCGGTGGGTAAGTCAGTGTTCGAAACGACATCCTACTTTGCCTTGTTGACATTTGAAGTATGATCCAATGGGACGTACCTGAGGAAATAAATAGTAAGCAATTTATAATACAAGAAATTCTGCTTTGATTGTAGTGTGAAGCTTTAAAAGTGCAAGTTTAGGAAGGAAAATGTAATTATATTCAATGGTACACTGAGCGAATGAATGTGGCTTTAGCGATTGTGGCTCAAGGTAGTCAGGGCAGCTCAATCACGGACACGAGCGTTGCCCGAACATCCTTGCTCTTTTATGTGAACGCTTTTAGACTTTTCAGTTTTATTAGAGGATTAATTACGCCTTTATAAATACATAACCGTGAGCTGTTGTACCCTTTCCATCTGTCTTACAGTAAACTGTACAGATAAGCTTAGATGCCTTTTCTCCTGAGCATTTATTTGCTGTTTGTCTTGCTCTTATTTAAAGAGATGTTATTTTTTCGTTGTTTTGTTCATGTAAAAGACAATTCATATGTGCTACTATTGTGCAATTTACAAAAGTGACTGTTTGAATGAGAGTTTAACTTTAAAGGATTATCAACCCGTTATCGAAGTAAGCTCATTTATGTATTTCTCCTGCTCAGATTTACAGCAATATCACACTTCTATTTCTGTTGATATTTTAAAAAATAAAAGAGAAATATGCATCCTGTCTGACGAGATTTGTTTTCTTAAAAATGTTTCTCAAAAACATTTTTAATTCATTAAAAAAAAAAGTGTCAAAGTGATACATTATACAAAAATTCAATCAAACTTCATTAAACATTCACCTCCGAATACAAAATGGCTGCGTCAGCATTGTCGTTTTAGGTCAAATGCTTTCCTGCGATAATACTAGACATAATACATACAGCACGGAGTAATTCATGATCAGGCAACATGCATAGCCAGCGACCGCAAGATCTTTGTAATTTAAAAACAGAAATATCACCATTTGCTTTGAAACAGCAAAAATGTTTGACAATGAGAACAGAATGGCATCTATTGGCTAAATGGGCCTTGTGGTGTAAGTCTGACCTTTTTCAACACTTGGAAACATTTTATGCCAATGTAATTGAGAAACAACATGGAGAAACCCACGGCTCTGACCTTTGTAGTGTGACACTGAAAATGGTTTCCTGTTGTGTTCAGTTCTCCGTTCAGAAGCTAAATTTTTATGTCTGTGAAGCAATTTCTTATACAGTTTCAATAATGCTAGTGAATTAAAAAGCTCAACTTCAGCGGTCTCAAGTGCATTGACTGTAGAGACATTTTATCTGTGTATCATGTTGACATGGCACCTCTATGACGAAGAGAATGTAATAAAAAAATATAATTCAAAAGTAGCAAATGTGTTTTCAAAAACCCAGATATTAAATACACCATGATTACAACAAACAGGAATAACACATGCTGATTAAGAAGACTTCCTGTATTCAAAAAGTTAAAAAATGACCTCAAGATGGAAAACAACATTTTCACTTTCACAATTGTCAGTTTCTCCTTCCTTTCTGAACTTCTAGAAAAAAAGACTTATATACTTATATAATTAGAAATAATTATCTTATTCCCAAAGGGTGACTTATAGTCACACCATGAGCAAAAAGACTTGGCCATAATTGTATGTTATTTGCTGAGCAAAATCTCCTCGTTTTGCTTCCAAGAATGACATGTGCAGCAAATGTTGACTGATACACTATTGGATGCTCCACAGTGACTTGCTCAAGTGAGACGAACAGCGTTAAGAGAACTGAAGAACGCAAAGAGTGTTTGAGTTCTTCTTTGAACATACTTTTACAAAGATCCACAGTGAAGTGATTCTTTGGCACAAGGCTTTCATCGGAAGCCATAACTGATGGAACTCCATCGCTCGATCCTCCTGTAAAGAGATTCTGTAATGTCTTTGCTCAGTGGAGTCTCACATCAAGTGTCTTTACACATCGAAGAAGGTGCAGGTTCAACCCAGTTCATTCGCACCATTTAGTCTCCTGAGTCCTGGCTGTCTGACTGCGGGGAATATTTCAGACGAAACGTCCCTGCAAAAACAAAAAGCAAAAATAATAATAATAATAACTTTTTAATGTTTCTGAAGAAACCATGGTTGGTGTTTGCACACACAAAAGTCTTTGCTACAAAGCTAGGCTTATTTTTACTAGAGTATTGCTATGTGGTAGCTAAGGTGTTCCGAGTGATGTTATTATGTGGTTGCTAGGTGTTTCTAGGTGGCTGCCATAGTTTCTAGGTGGTTGGTTGCTAAGGTGTTGATGCTGCTCTGCAGTTGCTAAGGTATTCTCAATGGTTGTTGGGTTGTTCTGGGGCATCTTATGTTTTTAAATGGTTTTTGGTGCAATTCTCTATGGTTGCTAATGTTTGTGCAGTGATTTAATCCTCAATGGTTGCTAGGGTGTTTCTAGGCAGTTGCAAATGTGTTCTGGATGGTTGTCACAAACGTATGTGGTTCCTAATGTTTGCGGAATGGTTTATGGCACATAACTCAATGGTTGCTAGGGTGTTTCCAGGTGGGTTAGATGCATTTAGATGGTTGCCAGGAGAGTTACTATGCAGTTAAGCTATTCTGAATGTTTTCTGCAGATGAAATTTAGCTCTGTAGCTAATTCTGGGGCATTGGACTGTCCATTGTCCCTGTCTAATGAACTATTAAATAAAATAAAATAAAATTTTGGGTGGTTTTCAGGGTGTTGCTAAGAATCTATGAGTACTGTTTTGTTAGTATTTGTTTTATGGTTGTTAGAATGTTCTGAGTGGTTGCTAGGGTTATTCTAGACAGTTGCAAGGGTATTCTGAGTGGTTGCTAAGGTGTTCTGAGTGAAGCTGCTCTATGGTTGCGGAGGTTACAAAAGTGTTCTGAGCAGTTGCCATGGGTGGTTGATAGGGATGTAACGATTAACCGCGAGCCGGTTGAAAACTGATTCAAATATATGACGATTCAAATCGGTCGAGATGCTAAACAAACCGCGATTCATTTAGAGGTAGGAGTTAATATGAATGTATGTTTGAAGGGAACTTACTGTCTTTAGAAAAGTTTAGATGGTATTTTTTCTTTTTATAATGCATATTAAAGTTCATAAGTGCAGCATTGCTTTGTTTACAGCCGAAACCAAGGAAATGCTTTAAGCGCCACCTGCTGGCAGAGAGTGTATCTGCGTCTCATTCAGCTAGTCTGCTGTTTCTGTTTCATGCAGATATTTTTGTATGTATAGTTTCACAAAACTGAAGTCAAATCATTCTGTTTTTGCTTACAATTTCGAAATTATACAATCTAATTTAGATTAAAAACTGTTCATGTTGCATGCATGCAGCATCTTTGTTTGGATTGTGATTAAAATGCAGTGGTTGCCTCTAATTTTACATGGAAAGAGCACAGACAAAGCCTAATTTTGTTTATATGAAGAGATATATTTTATTTGTGTTACTTATTTTTTTGATTTGGGGCTTGTTTTAAAATTTCAATTTAGTTTTGTTATTTACATTTACATTATATTTAAATTTAGTCATTTAGCAGACACTTTTATCCAAAACGACTTACAAATGAGGACAATAGAAGCAATCAAAACCAACAAAAGAGCAATAATATGCAAGTGCTATATTAGTATATTATTATAGTGTTATATTTCAATTTCACAAAGAAACGTGGAGCATTTTGTCCAGGCAAAAATAAAAGGACACATTTAATTTATCATTTGTCTTAAATCTCATTTTGTAAAAAAAAAAACGTGAATCGAATCGAATCGTGAAATCAAAATAGTGATTCGATTAGAATCGAATCGTGAGTTGAGTGAATCGTTACATCCCTATAATAAGATGTTATGTGGCTTTTAGCATGCTACTCTACAGTTGCTGAGGTATTCTAGATGGTTGCTAGTGTTCTGGGTCACTTCTATGTACTTTTAGTTTTTTTTTTTTTTAACAAATAGGGTGTTCTAAGTGGTTTCTAGGGTGTTACTATGTGGTATGTGGAATGGTTTATGACTCCACATGATTTAGTGTTGCTTTATGGTTGCTAGAGTGCTCTCTGTAGTTACTAAAGTTATACTAGACAGTTGCAAAAGTATTCTGGGTGGCTTCTTGGGTGTTGCTAATTTGCTCTTAGGATGTTCTGGGTGGTTGCTAAGGTGTTAGGAGTTTGCAAGCACTACTTACAAACAATGCTGTTACCTTGTTGTGCAGAGTCCATTGCTGGCTGCTTGCAGTCTTGTGCTCGATGCCCACTCAGCCCACAGTTATAGCAGGACACATTCCCTGTTTTCTTATGCCCAGAGCTTCCGTTTCCCATCATTCCATGGGGCTGGTACACACCACCCCCTCCCCCTAGAAAACCCTGCACTGGTGGAAGCACAATATTTTGTTGCGAGTCATGTGATAGACTGCTGTTGTAAATAGGTGGGGCCACCAGGGGGTAGGAAAAGGGGGAGGCGGTACCACTTCCTGTAAGGAGGGGGCTGAAATGAAGCAAAGGCCCTAACGTGAATACTGATGTTCCTGAAAACGGATGAGGAAAGTATCCGGCGTAGCTAGCTGGAAGGGCCCCATAGGAGCCACAGTTACCGCTACAACCGCAAGAGCTACAAATGCACAACGAGGAACTGGAGTTAGTGCTGTTTGCTTGCACTGAGGCGTAGCCGCTATTCTCTGTGGATGCTGGGCTAGAACTGGGCGTGACTGCGGATGTACTGTTTACGCAGTAGGTGTTGCCGGGTACTGCCGCCATGGGAACGTTGCTGGTCGTTGCTATAGGAACTCCACTGACAGGCGAGAAGGAGGGTCTGGTGGAGGAACTCGATGACGGGCAGGAGGACAAGGTGGAGAAAGGGTACGATCCTGTGCGTGGAACAGAAGAAGACACTTGTAAGTGTAAGGGTGGGTGAGAAACATGATGGAGGGTGTTAGACGTGGAGGTGAGAGCAGTGCTGGTATCCACCATGAGACCTGGAGGGGAGCGAAGCACTGTGAGGGGCCCATGGGGGACCGACATGTCCTGGTGCCCCGGAGAACCATCAAGATTCAATCCACGGAAGATGTTCTCCAGCCGGACACCTACGGTGACCCCAGACCCCATCGGTTTGGGACGTTCTTCTGAACAGAGAGGGGGTGGACGAGGTTTGCGGGGAGAGTTGAGAACGTGGCCTGGGGAGGGGAGGGGCAAGGATGGTGGGGGCAAACTCATTTGGGAGGGACAGAGGGAGGGATCGTTCTGGACCGGTAGGACTTGGGCAGTGGGACGGCTGGGACCGGTGGATACCACAGGATTGAGGAGAAAGCATGACCGCTCTTTCTCACAAGGATCCAAACCAGACTCTAAACCTGAAAGGAGATATAGACCTAAAATGAAATGACATGCAATTATTTAATAATTATTTCACCTTACATTTTTAGGGTAATGAATGAACCAGAAGCATCACCAACCGCTAATAGGCATTTCAAATATCTCTTTCTTGATCTATGATCTACTTAAATAATATACTGTATACATATTATACTATATATAATATATATAAAATCAATTTTGTGTCAGTGTACTATATGTACAATTATAGTAAAGAATTTAATCTCCATTATAAAAATATTAATAAAAAAAAACATCAGTTCTTACGTCTGTGAGGGTCTTTAACCCGGTCGAAGGAAGTGTCACGTGATAAAGGGGTCATTGGACTGGAAGGAGCACTGGAATAGCCTGAGGAGGAACTGCTGTCCCGTGGAATGGGCAACGAGTTGTTCTCAACGTCTACTCGTAGCTCTTTACATACACACACACACACACACACACACAAAATAATCATAACCTCTTGAATTCATACAAGTATATGGCATATACTATACTTTAAACTTTTGAATATTTTAATTTAGATGCAAATAGTTTAAACATATTCATTCATTATTTTATTTTTCAGAAGTCTGTGTACAGTACCACTTCCAGAGTGTGCGTGTGTCAGGGATCCGATATGACTGGAAGGGCTCACTCTGGCAACCCCACTACATGAAACAGGAAACTGAGACACCACGTATCTCTTCTCCAGCTTCTCTCTGACAAGAAAACAAAAAATATAATTTATTATTTTTTTCATGTACCATTTGATAATAAACAATGGCTGGATCATGAATGTCAAAAGATTTTTTTATAGAACATCATTTCCCAGCAATGACACCTAGATGGCGCTGTGTACAAAAACATCCCAGCACTTACCGCATGTGCATTATTCTGCTAGTGCATCAGTTTGAAGCTTATCATCTATGTAGACTTTGATTTTAGAAACAAAAGTTGGGATGTGAAAAACTACATATTTTTTAAATATAGTCAATGGGTATGATTATGCTGCCTCAGGTTCTAACGGGGCCTTTCAGTTCAGGAAGTTTACAATGTTGAGTAAAAGTAAACACTATTTAAGTTTTATTAGCTAGTGTCAGAGAGAACCATTTTATTAAGAATGAGACGTGAACCAGTATAACCTTTATTGTTGTTTCCGGGCATGGAAAACCTCCCGAGGATTATTTCCTGTTATCTGTTAAGATATCTTAGCTCCCACAGCTCCACCTGAGCAATGGAAACTTGCTGATGTGAGAAATGGAAAAAGAATTAGAATGGTGTGTTTTCACTGAGGAATAGTGACTTGCTCCACTTCCGTGCTGATCTTAAACTCTCGATGCCAAACTCTTAATCTGAAGGAAGTGATCTGCCCTGGAATTGTGGAAACTGACCATTTACCAACATTTAAATAATTGTTGCGACAAATATGGGTTACAGAAATAGTTTGCCCAAAATTGTTCCAAACCTGTATGCTATTATGTTTTATAACTAGGAAAAAAAGTAACTATTTCTTTATATCTACATTAAATAAACTCTACATACAATACTGTTGAACAGTTTGGGGTCAGCATGATTTTTAAAATGTTTTTGAAGTCTCTTAGGCTCACCAAGGCTGCATAGTTGATCAAAAATTAGGGATGCACTATATTATTGGACCATTATTGAAATCTATTTGAAAAACATTGTGCCGATATGCCTTGCCGATAAGAGGAATAGCTCACATGTGCTCAGGGTGTGTTAGCGATAAGATCACGTCAGCAGTTTGGTCATTCTTTAAGGGAACTTTTCCCTGAATGGTGATTATTCACAGTTTTGGATCGTGGATCATTTAATTTGAGAATGCAAGTGCAGAATGACACGTCCGGTGTATGGCAGAGTAAACCAGGGTCTTCAAACTCAGTTCTAGAGGGCTGGTGTCCTGCAGAGTTTAGCTCCAACCCTAATTAAACACACCTGAACCAGCTAATTAAGGTCTTACTAGGCATACAGTAGTAGCGTACAGTAACAGCAGCAGCAGCCACCCCCGGATCCTAATGCCCATTCGTTAAGGCATTTTTATTTATTGAGGGGGAGCTGTAGGCCTACTTGTAATAAAATGAAAAGTAAAATACACAAATAACATTAAGATACTTGTGTTTCTATAAATAAAGCAGTAATTTATGTCATAAAATCACAAATCTGTTTTGATTTAAAGGTCTGAAGCTATTGCTTACATGAATAAAAATCACAAACATGAGACTTGTAAATTGAATAATTTAATATATACAGATTTATTCATTAATATGAAACATATTTTTTCAAATGGATTATGAAAACTTAAATACAAGGAGCTCTAAAAGCTTTTTAGAATATTTACAGCTCTTTTGCTTTAGACCATCTATTAATGTAAAATCCACAAATAAAAGGTTTCAATTGCCTCTAAAAAAAAATATCGGCATATCGGCAAAAGTCGTGCATCCCTATCAAAAATGCAATAAAAACAGATGTCGTGAAATGTTATTACAATTTAAAATAAATGCTTTCTATTCAAATATATTTTACAATGTAATTTATTCCTGTGATACAAAGCTGAATTTTCAGCATCATTACTCCAGTCTTCAGTGTCACATGATCCTTCAGAAATCATTCTAATATGCTGCTCAAGAAACATTTATTATTATTATCAATGTTGAAAACACAGAAACTTACAGACCCCAAACCTTCGAATGGTAGTCTGTGTATATTATAATTTACTGACCTTTTACATATTTTTCAGCTTTTGAGTAAAAAATTGAAAATCCAGAGTGATTTACTAAATAGTCTTATTCACTATTGATTAGGCACTAAATGAGCTAACCAGTGTCACTGTCATCCTTTATAGCGCAAACACAGTTCCTGTCTATGCTAATTAGGTTAATTATTGATTGTACCTATTCACAACACTCTTTTACCTGGCATATTTAACAAAGCGCTATTTATACCCATGGGAAGTAGATGGTAAACTGAATTTTATGCAGAGATGTTTGAGTACATTTTTCATTTATCATGGCAGAAGTAATTTCCTTTAAAGAACTCCTGAATGTTTCTGAGGTTATTTATGGCATGATGCATGCAGATCAAACATACTGGTGTCAGAATTTAAGCACAAATCACACTCACTTCTGAAGCTCCAGCTGAGTCTTTAGTTTCTTCTTGGCCCCCTGAGTGAGGTCGTACTTGTTGAGATCCTCTTCTGTGAGAGCAAGGAACTGAGAAAGTGAATAAGGAGATCATAATTTAGATAAGTTGTAGTGGGAGAGATATGTCAGGAAGGAAATATGTATTTCTTGGCTGCAATATCTGAAATCTGTTCCCTAAACATCTCTTCCAATCATTTTAATCACTTATCTGAGAGGACGACTCTCATACCAAGGGAAAGAGCCACTTTAAGTCATGTACCTCCTCCATGGTTAGCTGTTTGAAGACAGGGTAGTATTTATGCAACCGTAGTTTACGAAGCCAGTCCAGGATACCGTTCTGCTCCGGGCTGGGCTGCTGGGACTGGGGTTGGGGTGCGGGGTTTGTGAGGTGCATCTGTGGTGGACTGCGCTCCCCCATGGCAGTGCCGGGGAGGATGGCCACCGCTGTCTGAGGGGGGAGAGGGGGCAGGTGTGCAGGGGAGCTCTGCAGGAGGGGCGCATGGACGCTTAGGACAGGCTGGATGCTGGCGACACCACAAATGGGCCTGGGACAGAGTGAGAGAGGGTTTATGGATGGAGAGAAGAGAGATGTGAGAGTGTTTGTGTTGAGGGGTTGTTAAACTCACCTCGCTCCCCTATACTGAAGCAGACAGCCCAGATCTGCAAAACATGGAAGTGATAAAGTGTGATTAAGAAATATAGCTTGATTTGACATGACATGCCATGGGTGAATTTGTTTAAACAAAATGATACCTATTTAGGACCATTAAAATGTTTTAAAAAATGAAGTATTTTCAGAACAATTAAGAACTTCATCAAAAACACAGTAAAAACAGTAATATTGTGAAATGTTATTACAATTTAAAATCATTTTAATATATTTAAAATTTTAAATTTCAGCATCCATTGCTCTAAGTCTACAAAGTGTGATTAGGAAATATAGCTTGATTTGACATGAAAAGATTCAACTGAATGGTTGAATATTACAGAAACATATAACAGAAATAATAAAAATTAAGAATATAAAATTCATTTGAATAATACAAACATAAAAACAATTAACATATAATTTACATAAACAAAATGACTCCTGCTTAGGACCATTAAGATTTCTTTCAGTTCTTTAAATTGAAATAGTTTTTTAATTTAATATAAAATTCATTTACAATTGTTTTATTTATTAAAAAAATATAGAAATATAATTTTTATAAACAAAATGATCCCTATTTAGGAATATATTTTCCAGATAATTAAGCATATCCCCAACCACCACCACCTCCCGAATTAATATGTTGTTCATAATGCAGTAATGATGGAGAATTTTTTTTAATAAGAATTGGAGGAGGGGGTTATGTCATAAAAATAATGTTAAAATGCAAATTAAAAAAAATGTCTTTCTCTCTTCTTTAGGCAAAATGTTATTTCTTATTTCTCCCTTTGATTTTGAGGTGAAGTATGAAGAACCTGGGCATGTTTTTGACAGGTTTTGTGAACGTCAATTAAATCTTGGTCTGATATTTTCAAATAAAAGGACCAGACTCTTTTATTTCCCTCTTCCCATGACTTATCTCATCCTCACTTACACTTCTTTCCCCCATGAGCCCAATTCAAGAGTACGGCTATGAAACTGATGTTTCAAAGCTATTAAAGTGGTACAGTCCCAGCTCTGCTCCAGATGGACCACTTGCACTGATGTTATTCCAGTTACAGGCTATTGAGTTGTAAACAACTAATATTAATAATAATAGTGTCCACAAGAATTTGTTTGTTTATTGCAGAGCCCTCTCTTATTGTATTTGATGGCTAAAAATTACATTTTGACTGAAAAATACAGCTGCAATAACTTACCTACAATACAAATTATCGAGTAATAATCCAAGGGGGTTTCCGTCCCTTCCCCCAGCACTACAAATAACATCACAGACTCACATCTAGGTTCTAGGCCTTTCGGCCTATTAATAGTTTCCCAAGATGAGGTCACTTCTGAAGCCTCCCAGCACAAGCAGGTCAAATCAAATCCCCACTGAGCTGAAACAAACTCCCCATTTCCCCAAGAGATGGTGTGGTCCAGAAACAAACGTCTATGGTGATGCGTCAGGGACGAACCATTGCGAGAGAGGAATAAGGGGCTTACTTGTGCTAGTAGGGAGCTGAGGTGCAGATGAAGTGCTGAAGAAGAAACGGACTTTGTCATGTTTGAGAACTTGAGGCGGAAGAGAGGTCAAGCATCTGTGGAGTTGAGGAAAAATTCACAAATTTAATTAAATTTTTATTAGGTATTGATATAGCAAAAACAAAGTCTGGGTGATCTAACAAAATAAATAAATTAATAATTTTATATATACACTACCGCTCAAAAGTTTGGGATCAGTAAGGCTTGTAATGTTTTTTTAAAGAAGTCTCTTATGCAAAAGTATCGCAGTTTCCAAAAAAAAAATAAAATTTGGCAGCACAACTTAAATCAGCATAATAGAATGATTTCTGAAGGATCCTGTGACACTTTAGACTGGAGTAATGGCTGATGGAAATTCAGCATGGCATCACAGAAATAAATTATATTTTAAAGTATATTAAAATAGAAACCATTATTTTATATTGTAATAACATTTTGCACGATTACTGTTTTTTAAAAATATTTTTGATCAAATAAATACAGCCTTGATGAGTATAAGAGACTTTTTAAAAAAACTGATTTTTAAACTTACTGATCCCAAACTTTTGAGCGGTAGTGTCAGTGTATATATATATATATATATATATATATATATATATACTGTATATATATAACAGTATTGATTAATAAACATTTCCCAACATATATTTTTAATACATTAAAAATGCCACTCAACAAATGAATTTTAAAACAGTCTGTCTACAGATATTTTGTAAACGTTCCAATTTATAACCCAGCCCTAGTAAAAGCACAGTATAACTGAGAATTCATGTATCTGTCTGCGCATTTTGTGATTCATAAGCAGAAATACCGAGGATCTAATTCATGAGTGGAATCAAGTCCAGGCATTTGGGGCAGAAGTTTCTCTAGACATTCATCGGGAAAGAGCTGAGAGAGCTGAAGAGAGAGACAACAGAGACACGGCATGGTTTCATAACATTACAAATTGTCAGCACTCATCAATGAACACATTCACTGGTTCTCAACATCACAGCACTGATTATTCTACACAGTCAAATCATTTTTCCACTACACAACTTTCCAGTGAGTCCAGTTGCAGTTGAGAAATTGAGATGAATGGAAATGTTAACATTTATTACAGACCACTTTAGTAGTTTATTTTTAAGACTTTTCATCTCAACACACTAGCTCAACATTTCTCACATTCATGAAATGCAACACACATGACTGTCACTCACCTGGGAGATAAACTCCACCACTTCCTGAGGGGTTTTGCTGACAGTCGACAAAGTGCAGTCGGACCACAAGGCCTTTGATCAAGAGAAAAGTATGACAAAAATATAACATGACAAGAACATTTTACATTTTGGCTACAATTGTTCTGTAAAATTATGACATAACTACCAAAAAGACCTGCTTTTTATGGAGATACAATACAGAACAACACATATAGATACAATATGCAGGAGATTTTGTTCAAATTTTCAGATTTATGTAAAACTCACCTCCAGGATGTATTCTGTTGATTTGTCTGATTTGGGTGCAACTCCCCTTAGTTCAATTCTTTCAACATACTCTGAAAAAAAGACAAAAAAGGCAAGCATCATGGGTGTAAAGATTTAAATCTGTTGGTTTACAGAAGACTTTTTCATTGTTACAAAAAAAATATATTTCACTGTTTTCTTTTACTTACTATTCATCAAAGAATCCTGAAAAAGTTTATCATATAAAGCAGCACAATTGTTTTCAACATTGATAATCAGAGGCGTCATGCCCATTCAAAGTGAGGGGGCACGTGCCCCCTCAGATTTTTGAGGCAAGTGGATTTTGAATGCAGCTTCCAAAAGACAAAAAATAGCCGATTAATATTTTCTATATTTAATACAATCACACCGGCGTGATTGGAACGTTCAGTGCGTCATATCATCAGCTGCTAAATTCAAATCTGCGCTCGCTGGCTGGCGCTGAGCCAGATACAGACGCGTTTTTACAGCGCTACGCATTATAACCAATCACACACGATGCTGTTGAGCTTATGAATACAATGACCAATCAGAGGTGTTCAGATGAGTCATCGCTAAAATGCCTGTTTTCTTCACTCGCTCGCTGTCTGAATACCTCTTTCTGGCGAATTCTCTCGTCAGAAACAACAAAGTGCAAATGTCTGTAAGATATTCATTTAATAGTGTAAACAGCTTTTTGAGAGTGCTTGAACTACTGTAGACTGTCAGTGAAAATGTTCTTTGATAATGTAAATGTTCTTTGCTCTCTTTCTGTACAATGAAAGTGTTATGATTAGTAGCCTAACTTGCAATGTTTTTATTCACATTAACTTTCAATGTTAAATTCACATTAAATATAAACTCAGTCTTATTAAAAATATGCTATGGCGTGACACCCACAACAGTCAGGTTTTTTTATGCATAGTTAATAGATTACATTATTAGGTTACTTTGACCATCATAGATCAAAATAATCTATAAAGGTGAGAAGAAAACGAATCGTTTGACAGAGGCGGGGCATAGAGGACCTACAATAATGTACAGTATTTGAAAAATACTGTGTTTTTTGAACATTAAAGCATGTCAACATATTCTGTTACACCAAATACACAAAATAATGATCTTTAAAAAAGCATCATATGACCCCTTTAAGTAAACAGACAGGTTTGTATGCATAGATAATAGATTACATTATTAGGTTACTTTGACCATCGCCCACTATAGATCAACATAATCTATAAAGGTGAGAATCAAGATATTTCATGATATAGTTAATGCGTTTGGGGATGTTTCGAATAAAAAGGAAAAAATAAATAAAACATAAGTGCTGTTGTGGCTGCTGTGTGTCACATGACGATGTTCAGTATTGGCTTCTCTGAAATTGGACCTGAAATACTCTGAAAATAGTCTGTAGGCACAAAGTTTATTACTGTAGCCTGCATATGAAATTATACTCGCTATAAAGATTTGCCCTAAAATGCTGGATTGTTTCACTTTTGCATTCCACACAACAAAACTTGGTTGCATTTACCCCAAATGACTGAATGAGTTACATTCACTCCTCAAGCCTTGAATAAGAATTAGATACATACTCTCCAAAATGTATTATGGTAGTATTATCACAGACTGTTTGGATTCTATAAGAGGAGAGGAGTATGTGAGAAAATCCTCCAGAACTTAATAACCTCTCAGACGGTTTCTGGCAGGTTAGAACTCGTTTGAGCATATTTAGCTAAAAGGAAGAACCTGGGAAGCGAGAATTTGAGCCTCCAGGCAATTCATTTCACAACATATTTTGATGGCAAACCAGTGACTTTACCGCTTTGAGATGAAGTTCAAAACAGAGTAAGGTCAATCGTGAGCAAGAGCACTGAAAATAAGGAGGGACAAAAGACTATATTAGTACTAGATCTTTTTTGTTTGTTTGTTTGTTATATACTGCTGTTCAAAAGTTTGGGGTCAGTAAGATTTTCATAGATTTTTTTTTTACGAGTGACGAGTGATGAGTGACGTGACATGTGGCCAAGTATGGTGACCCATACTTGGAATTAGTGCTCTGCATTTACCCATCCAAAGTGCACACACACAGCAGTGAACACACACACCGTGAACACACACCCGGAGCAGTGGGCAGCCATTTATGCTGCGGCGCCCGGGGAGCAGTTGGGGGTTCGGTGCCTTGGTCGTGGTATTGAAGGTGGGAGAGAGCGCTGTACATTCACTCCCCCCACCTACAACCCCTGCCGGTACGAGACTCGAACCCACAACCTTTGGGTTATGAGTCCGACTCTCTAACCATTAGGCCACGACTTCCCCCTTTTTAAAGATATGATATCCTTTTATTCAGCAAGGACACATTTAATCGATCAAAAGTGACAATAAAGACATCTATAATCACATTTCAAATAAATACTGTTCTTTTGAACTTTCTATTCATCAAAAAATCTTGAAAAGTAGCACAGCTGTTTTCAGCATTGATAATAACAAATGTTTCCTGAGCAGCAAATCAGAAATTTAGAATGATTTCTGAAGGATCACGTGACACTGAACACTGGAGTAATGATGCTGAAAATTCAGCTTTGCATCACAGAAATACACTTAATATAAAATATATTTAAATAGAAAACCGTTCTTTTAAATTGTAATAATTTTTCATAATATTGCTGTTTTTACAGCATTTTTTAACCAAGTAAAAGTTGCCTTGGTGAGCATAAGAGACTTCTTTAAAAAAAAATTTTTTTTTAATCTTACCAACCCCAAACTTTTGAACGGTAAGTGTATGTGACATTCATATACAGCAAGTCTGTCTCAAGAGTCCAGCTGAAGTGTGTTCATTTGCACACACGCGCACCCACACGAGTGAGCAGAAACACATCCGGAGTCTGCTCACCATAAACATGGCCGAACTTGTTAAATATACCCTGCAGAGTCAGCACTTCCTGTAGTGTGTGTGTGTGTGTGTGTGTGTGTGTGTGGAGAGAGAAAGAAGGCTGAATGGAATTCTGTGAGTTCAATGCATGATATCAAAAGATCGGAGAGCAGTAGATCGCCTCCAATGCTTTCATTCATTGAGATTAATATTTTAGCCATTTTTTTTAATAGATGCTAAGATTGAGCAACTACTAACAACAACAGAAAAAATAGTAAGTCATACAGTTTTGGAGTGACTTGAAGGTTAGTCAACAATCACAGAATTTCCTTGTTTTCTTTATTAGTGGTGCACCGACACACTGACTTTATAGCTCTTTAGCAGCCTCATCTCTTTCCTCATCTCCAGCAGGCAAGTGTGAGCTCATCTGGAATGTTCCGGAGAGGAGGAGGCCTTTCCCTTCAGCAAAGAGAGATGCCTGCCTGCTCCTCCCAAATCACCCACCAAACCCCTCATTACACCACTGTGTGTTATTATATGTGTGTGTGTGCGCGCCGCAGAGTGAAAGTGAACCACAAACCCAGAGAGAGGTCACCGCCAGAGGAGGAAGAGATTTGTAAAGTGGTTTGACACAACAATCACACAGTGCAGACGAACAAAGACGAATGTGTGAAGTACAAACGGGATGAGATGCAAAGCATCTTTCGTCTGGAAGAAAAAAAAAATCATTTTAAGAACATTTGCTCATCTGCAATATGTCACTAAAGCCGGGAACACACTACACGACTAACATGCCGATTATGAATGTAATTTGTTCTTGAGGACTGATCGTGCCCAGTCGGCCAGGGTCTGTTCCAGTTGGGCTCAGTCGCTGTTTGCAGTCGGCAGAAAAAGTTGTAGTGTGTGGTGTCTAAAGATTATAATCGTAGAATTCAAGAACGTCGTTGCCAGTCTTTTTCACAAAGATTTTTTTAAACGTGTTTAATATCTGCGACTGACGCCAGCGATTGTATGCAGCTATGCAGTGGAGATGCGCTCACTGTCAAACATCATTCAGCGTTAATTTTGTCAAATATTTTTTCTTGTTTACACATTTGTTGGGATGTTATCATTGCAAGTTAAATAGTTTTAGACTTTTTCTGTGGTCGAAGAAAGAAAAATAAAGAATGACAGTTATTTCTCTCATTTTAAAGATATTATCAAGAATTATTTAATTCGATCTGCAGTCTAATAAAAGTTAAGAAAAAATAGAATTAGCAAATAGGCCTATCTATAGACTACAGGCTAATTCATTTTTTCTTAACTTTTACGTAAAATTCGTTATGTATATTTAAATCAACTTCACAATGAATAATGAATATACAAAGAATATGTATAAAGAATATACAAGAAGAATGAATAAAGAATATACAAATAGCTTCTTAAAAATGAATTTTTCATTAAAAAAAAAAAAACAAAGCAGAATATAATCCATTTAAATAATTCATGAAACACAAAAGGCCCACATGAAACAATGCACAAAACATGAAAATCCTGTAGACAACAGAAAGGCAAAATGGTTTTAATAACAGTTGTTTTAAATTATAATAATATACAACCCAAAACTTTTGCATGGTAGTGTATATCATGCTCAATTTGTTCAACCAATTTAAACTAACCAAATACTAACACTAACAAAGAAATTCATATAAACTATATTTCATTTTCCAGAATGATCCAATCTACCCAAAATTTCTAAGTCAATAATGATTTTAATAAAGTTTGAAAACAATATAATGGACATCTGGTGCTCAGAGAAATGTATCTTACACTCTAAAAAATGCTGGGTTGTTTCAACCCAACTTTGGGTCAAATATGGACTAACCCAACCGTTGGGTTAAATTTTTACATTACATTTTTAACCCAAAAGTTGGGTTAGTCCATATTTGACCCAAAGTTGGGTTGAAACAACCCAGAATTTTTTAGAGTGTAGCTTAGAGAAATATGTGTAATCTGCTGAGGAAAAATCTACTATAAATATTAAAGAAAAATATAAGCATAATTAGTCCAAATTAATTATCTAAATATTTGTGTTTTGTCACAAAACGTTCGAGTGATGGTGTTGAATTTCTTTGAATTGCAAATGAGTACTTTCCTCTTCCTGTCATTCCAATTCAAAGTCAACATCCTGTCAGGCCAATTCAAGCATCCTGAAATCACTCATGA